TTATTGTTTATATACAAAATGGTAGTAATTATTACCATTAATAAATTAATAATGTTATTTCTTAAAGTCTTTATTAAATATTTTTATTAAGTATGTTTTATCTTTATATTATGTCATATTATACATTAAATAACTATAGTTACATAGGGACAAATTAAATTGTGTTATGACGTATGGTAATTCTATTCTATTCTATTCAACACAAAAGAAAGATGCTATTCTATAGTCAATGTTGTATCCTGGACGTGGGTTTTTGTGATAGAGTGAGAGACAGACATTTGCTTGACATCGTAACCTACTGCTCGACTTCTTACTGTTACATCATCATTACCTCATCACTGGATCTCTGTGCAGACCAATCAGGTCAGAGTGGGAGGAGTCGTCATTCCCCACTCTGTACACATGCATTCCGATTTGACCTTTGACCTCTGGAATGTGGCGGTATGCATAAGTTTCCTGCCGCGGGCGACTCCCCCGCCTTCACGCCCTCAGCAGTCACGCATAAACACTGACCAACAATCCTACAGCCTGGGGTCAAAGGTCACGCTCAGCAGGGACGTGCCGAACGGTGTGTGTATCTGTGTGTCACCGGCTTTGATCCATCTGCCGTTGCGCACAGGACATACACACTCATTCACATTGTTTCACATTTTAAAAAACAATCAGCCCTTATTTAAAATAAACCGAAGGACTCCTCCCTGCAGATTATTCATCACATTCCTTATGTTTTTTAAAATACGCCTCAAAGAAAACCTGATTTCTTTGTGCTTGCTTGTAATAGTTTACTTTTCTGTACATGAATCATAATTGAGGACTTTAATCATGGCAAACGAAAACTCGTGCCTCGCTTTCCTCGGTTTCACGCTTGTGCAAATATTGACATATTTAGGCGCTTTGAAGTCTGAATGTGTTTGGTGTGGTTGCGATTATCATCTGGAGAACATTAGAGCAGAGACGTCCAACTTGTGACATCCTGCAGGACTGCAACAGTAGCTCCACACACACACACACTCTCTCACTCTCTCACACACACACACACACACTCATACACACACACACTCACACACACACACACACACACACACACACTCACTCACACACACACACACACGCTGAAGATGAATGGACGCTTGAGGAACCGCCTCTCTCGTAAGGAAGTTCCTCATGAAGTTTAGAAACTCGTTGACTTGATGGATTCTGATGGGACGAAACCCAAAATTACAGCTGCACCCTCACAAGTCTTTCCGTTGTCTTTATGGCTGCATTCACACGTCAGATGGATGCATTTTTGTTTTCCACAGACATCTGGCACACATCAGATCCTGTTTCTTGCATGTAAACTGCAAATTGCTTATAAGATGAGACTTTTCGGTATCTGATATGGGCCACTTTTACATATGGACATCTGGGGCCGGATTCATGAAACATTCTTAAGAAGAAATTTCTTCTTAACTGCCATTTTCTTCTTATTTTTTAACTTAAGAAAAAAGTTAAGAATATTTTGTATTCCCAAAAATTAATTTTAAGAATATTAATCTTTTTTCTTAAGATTGTTCTTAAGACAAAACTTGAGAAGAATTCAAATTCTTAAAAAGAATCTTCTTAAAAATCATCGTAAATAACTTCTTAAATTTAGGACAGCCCCAGACTTGTCTTAAATCCCAAACAGTAAGAATTATTTAATGAATTTATTGGGTTATTTCAAATAAATTGTTATATTTAAGCATTACAACAACACTAGTTACATATAATACATATTAGGACAGCGATGACTGATAATGTAAATGATGATCGGTCATGATTAGCCTATGTGTGACGAAGCTTTTTGCTGATTTCAAAACTCTGTAGCAACTCTAAAATGAGTCAGATAGGGAGCTTTAATTGAACGCTTTTAATTTTAGCTTATAAATACGACATAATCTTTGGCAGTATGAATGCGCAGGACGCATTTGCTGTAGCAGTGCGGACACACATACCAGAAGCGTTCACTCAGATGAGAGCGCAAAACACAGCACAAAAATGAATGAAACATATCGCTGCAGCTTGAGACAGGCTATTTTAAAAGTAACTGCTCAAAAACACGGCGCATCAAAAACGTGAAGCTGAGCGCCAGTCAAACTCGCGACGAAAATAATGTGCGTGCTTATTAAGATTATTAGGGTAATCTGCAGGAAGCGCAAAAAGACAATAAAGAGTGAGTTTATCAGTGCGCCATGTATTCACTCAGATAACGACTTCGTTTCTTCTTAAGAAAAAAATTAAGATGTTCTTAAGAATATATTTGAGAACTTATTAAGAATTTTTCAAGAATTGCACTTAAGAACATTCTTACGAATTTAGTGGGATTTATCTTAAGAAATTTCTTAACTTATTTCTAAAGAAGATTTTCGTGAATCCGGCCCCTGACCCATATCTAAACACTCATCAGATTTAATTCTCCTCTGAATTCAGGATTTCTGGCATGTGAAACAATAGCAGGAATAATGTAAGGACTTGATTTTGGCCGTCTGTATTTGATTGGATTCTAATCATTGCTCAACTGTCAAGTTACATCTCATTACTGTATTGCAAAAATATATTCATTCATTTGAATGAGTAAATTATTTAAATATTTAAATATAAATGATTATTATTTTATTATATATTAATAATGATAATATTATTTGTATATTCTTATTTATTCAAAACTTTTGACTTGTAGTATATATTATGGAAGCTTATTTCTTTTGCATTTTCCTTGCATTTGCTAGTTTATGTCTCACAATTCAGATTATATGTGAGATATAAACTCGCAAATGTAAGGATAAAGTCAGAATTATGAAATAAAAAAAGTTGCAGTTACTGTTTGTGTTTTTTATTCCGAGGCAGACATAAAAAAAAACTGAATTGTGAGATTAAAATGAAGAATTCTGAGCAAAAACTCCAAATTGCAAGATGTAATCTTAAAATTACTAGTTTATATCTTGCAATTGCAAGAAAAATGGGGGGAAAAAAGATTAATGAGATTTAAAGTCGCAGTTATCTTTTTGTGTTTATTCTGTGGCGGAATTATGCTTCCATTTATATATATGTGTGTGTGTGTGTGTGTATACATATATAAAGTATTTATATAATAAATATGTATTATAATATATAAATATATCAGTTAAGAATATAAAAACATTTATGCATTATTGTTGTATTTGTATACATTTATTGTATGTATGTATACATATATTAAAAAAGTTATGTCCAGATGCATTACAGTAAAGGGAGTTTCTGGCGAAATGTGCATAATTTTTTGCTTTTGAATGCATGGGAATTGAGAAATGTCAAGTTGTCTGTTACAGTAGCCCTTCCTCATAGTAATGTATTAAATGTAAAAGAGAGGCCAGAACATTCTTTAGACATTCACTGCTTGTGGTTCTGCAGTTGAAAGTAAGTCGTACAGTTTTGGAACAACTCAAATGATGACAATTTTCATTTTTGACTGAATTTCTCACTTTAGTCTGAGCCAGTCAAGTGTGTATATTCCTGCCAGATTTTTGATCATTTTGTTTTATCATCATGAATACATCCTGCGGTTGTGTTTTCTGAAGTTTCAGTTGTTTTTGTCGTTTCTTGTAATAAATGTGATGGCTGGCGACTCTCTGTGTCCAGCTTTGGCAGGGTTTCTGTGTGGGGGCGGGGTTAAGCGTTAGAAGCCCTTATTACCACGCCGACGAGGAAAAGCAGCCAATTACACTAATCTCCCGCCACATCTGTGTCCAATCAGAGACAGCCAATCAGCACACAGTGGTTTTGGCTTCAGCGCCTCAGAAGGGTTAGAAAGAGAAACCCTGAGAGAGGTGTGTGTGTGTGTGTCTAAATGCTGCCACCGCAGCTCAGAGCTCAAGAATGTTCCATTATGCTGTGAAATGGAAGGTTGTCAGAGTTTAGGGTTTTATTACCCATCATGCACCAGTACTTGTTTCCCAGATCTTGTCGATAATCTTTGGCGTTTTAACCTCCTGTAGGATCCAAGAGATGTTTTTTTTTTTTTTTTCTTCTTCTGTAGTTTGTGGTGTGTCTGTAGATAATGTTCAGTCACATGCCACAATCACATGCACAAACATACACACATCTTCATTCACATCTCCATGACGTATTTTCATGTGAAACATATTATGAATAATGAAGGGTGGGACTTGATTTTAACCATCTGTATTTGAATGGATTGTAATCATTGCTAAACTGTTAAGTAATGGGTCATATTTGACAATTTTATCAAAAATTACTGTAATGCAAAATAGTAATATAAAACTCAAGTATTTATTTATTTTTTTTACAAATACATCAAGATGCATACATAATTTATGGAGAAAAAATGTGTGTGTGTGTGTGTAGTATTTTGCCAAGTATTTTAAAATATTTTTATGAAGTGTTTATTAAAATTTTTTATTTTATTTTAAAAGTTGTAATTGTCCAAAATTAATTTATTGTTGTACAAAATTTTTTATTAAATAATTTTTTATTTAATTATATAAAACAGTTATGGAAATCACCATTGAAAATAATGAGAATTAAAACAAAACATTACAGTAATGAGAGTTTCTGGGGAAATGTGCATAATTATCATGAAAATAAAATCACAATGATAAAAGTCTTAATATATATAAATAAAAATAATAATAATTTTGTTGTTGTTGTTGTTGTTGTGAGGTTCATGCTTGTATACAAACTGTGAAATACTTTTTGCTTTGGCGTTTCTCATGTTATTTTCTCTCTTTCTGCAGGTTTTCCCTCCTCTGCCTAATGAAGCTGAGATCGCACACACGAAAAAACTGTTTCGTCGCTGCAGAAATGACCGCCGGTGAGTCACTCCGTCTTAATGTTACTGTCCGACTCTCTTCCAGTTGTTTAGCGCAAGCGTTACGTACAGAACGCTGACGTTAGACTCGTAAAGCAGAGAAAACAGCAGCTCACACTTTCCACACATGTCAGACTGTTAATGCAATGAGAGCGTCAGCCGGTGTGTTTGTGCTCGGTGTAAACCCTAACACTCTGTATCTGCATGTTCTTTACTCATAATCTGCTCTTTCAATCTATAAAAGCACTTCCACTTTTTTTCTTTTACGTTTTGACTTTGACTTCATCGGAAAAGTTCTCTGTTGTAATTTGCAGTTGCTAAGAAACGGCAAAAAAAGAAAATATTTTGGTCTAAACTTGTGCGAAAGAAAAGGAGAAGGCGGAGGGTGAAAGAAAGCAAAAGCTTTGTATTATTCGTGGCTTTGTTGATGTGAAGAAAGGCTCTGATGTCCTTGTGTGTGAAAGCCAGTCTGACTGCATGCCTTCAGTGGACGCTTCTCATGTCTGCTTTGTGATGCCGCTGGATTCGAGGACGTTTACGCTGAGGTTTTGGCTTTGACAGGACGTGTGGAACAGAGTAGATGGTTTATATGCGAATAAAGGCTTTTTATTCATTCAACTTTACTAGTGCTCTTGATGCCTGTGAGTCAGGATTTGTATGGTTAACTAAAACTAAAACCATGAAAAAAAAATAATTTTTTTACTTGAAATATGATTAACTGGAATAAAATAAAAAACCTTAAACTTATTTATTCTCAAAATTACTAAAACTGTAACGAAAATTAAAATAAATATTATTAAAAACTAAAATTAAAATGAATAAATCTTACTATCTAAACCAACATATAAATATATAAACAAACATTTTTGTTTCTTTAAAATAGAATAAACTGAAATAAAATAAAATATAAAAAACGTACTTATTTTATTTCTGTTAGTTGCCAAAGCAACATTTCTATTTTCATTTAGTTTACTTGATGTACTAAAATAAAAAAAAGTAAAACTGAATATATAAATAAATAAAAACTATATTGGCAAATTTAAAAAGTAAATAAATAAATAAAAATGACAAAAAAAAAAAACTAAATATTTATCCAAAAATGAAATGAATAAATAATTTAAAAATAAAATTATAATGAATAAATATTAATATATAAACAAATATATAAATATATAAACATTATTGATTCTTGAAATATAATAAACTAAAATACAATTATATATATACACACACACACACATACACACACA